TGCCATGTCATTGGCTGATTAGCAATTTGTGTTTCCAAGCAATTGAACCTATTAAAGTGGCCGGTGAGGGTAGTTCTCCATATGAAAATACTGTATGTCATATGGTTTGAATATGGACTAAGAACAACACACATTAAAAATGTAACATAACACAATGTTTCAACAGATATCTATTCGGTTTATTCAAAATACTAAAACACATGCATTTGGATTTTTGTTTTTTTTTAACTGGTACTTTTCAGTCCTTTCAAATACACTTCACTGCCTTCTGGGTACTTTTGCCCAACGTTCAGCAGTCTTTATATAGCTCAGTTCATCAGGGTAATATCCTTAAAAAATATAAAATGTTTGTAGGTATAGGTCTCATTCACAATTGGTGTTTTCCATAGTATAGATAAATGTCCAAAACACTTCTAAAATATACATGCCTTAAAGGAGCACTAAAATGCACAAACGTAACCTGAGCAAATATTAAAAAATTCAGCAATGGAAATTTGCTTTCAATTTTTTAAAGGTAAAAATGTAAAGGTATTCCGTGATGTGCACAGATGGTGATATATCAAAGCCATTTGTGGTATCTCTAACATTTTGGCCAAATTATGACCTTCACATTTTATTGAGCATGTGAGACATCCCATTCCAAGACCATAGGCATTAATATGCTATCCAACCCACCCTTATCCTTCTAAAGCCGGCCATACATGGATCGAATTCTGAAAGAATTTTCTTTCGAAAATCTTTTTTAAGAATTTTCATTCGAATTTCGCACCATTAGTGGGTCACAGAAATGGCCGATTTTCATGTGCCTATCAAATTTGAGTGATCAGTCATGTGGCAAATTTTTTGAAAAACAAACAAATTTCGAATCAATGATGGAAGAATCGTGCGAGAAATATAAAGCTGTGACCTGGACAGAAAAGAAAATTCTTGGCCACGAAAATTATTTTCTGAGAAGAAATTGAAGGCTTGGTTGGTTGAATTTCTAAATCAATGGTGGCACCATCGCATTGCAAAATTCACGTAATTTTTCATTTTCTAAAGAAAATTTGTACGGAATTCGATCCATGTATGGCCTGCATTACTCTTACAGCCATCAGTTTTTTGGCAAGGCGTTCTACAAGATTTTGGAGTGTATGTGGAGAAGTTTGCTTTCACCCAAAGGGCATGTCTGAGGACAGGGGTGGTGTTGATACTGGACAAGACCGGGCTCGCAGTTTCAGTTCATCCCAAAGGTGCACAATAAGGCCCCATGCATACAGGACATCTAGCGCCTGTGAGTGCAGTCTTGGTTTTCTGCATTCCAGGCATTCGCCCCTTGAATGCATAGGGCCCTAAGGCAAGGTTCACACCTCTGTATGTTGCGATTGATGTGTTTTTTCAGCATGTTTTGCAGTGTATCTTGCAGTTTTTAACGCATGTTTTGCCATGTTTTTTATGTGTTTAACATTTTTTAGTATTGACATTGATACCACTTTGATGTGAATTTGGATGGGTGAGACTTCGATGCAACTTTGATGACTTTGATGCTGCTTGAGTGCCAGAGAGTGTAAAGTCGCATCAAAGTTGCACTACATGAACAGAACTGTCATATTTTCCTATTATAAAAAAAAAGAAAGTCGCATCAAAGTTGTATCCATCCAAAGTCTCAACGTTGCATCAAAATGGCATCAAGTCAATACTTTCCTATTGGCAAAGAAAAAAAAGGTATTAAAAACATACATGCATTTCTGCCATGCGTCCATTGAAGTCTATTGAACCAAAAATGCAGCGCGTTGCGTTTAAAGAAGTCCATGATCCTTTCCAAAAATGCAGCAGATGAAAAACGCATAGATGTGAACATGACCCATAGGAAACCATGTTAAATGGACTGCAGTGCGTTTCTGCAAAATGCACTAAAAATGCATAGTTGTGAACCAGGCCTTAATGTAAGTACCTTTCATTACACCCTTCAGCCCCATCCAGCTGCAGTGCATTTCAGCGTGCTATTGGCTTTGGCAGGCTACAGGCAGCAGGGCTGGACGCTACACCTGCTCCATCCTGGCACTCTAAAACACCAGCATTGCACTTACAGGGGCTAGATGTCCCCATGTACAAGGGGCTTGAAGTAGAACTATAGGCAAAACTTTTTTTTTTTTTTTTTTTTAATTTTGGATAGAGCAAGGGAGGGTTATAACCCCTGTCAATTTTTTTTTTCCTTCTGTGTCCCATTGCAGAGATTTCCCTTTACGTCCTGTCCCATAGCCAAATAGGAAGTGAGAGAAAATCCCTGCAAATTTAGGGAATTCCTTGGGGACCCCCAGGTCAACAGATTTGGTGTCCCCATTAGAAGATTTCCCCTCTATTACTTTTCTGGGGACAACCCAAAATGTGGGATATTCTTTTACTGTCATTGTCAATGATAATGCTAAGCAGGACAAATAGTGAGGGGGAATCTCCTTAACTGCTTCCGACTGCCCTATAGCAGATATACTGCTACAGAGCAGCAAGGGCATGCAAAATCATGTATATATACTTGCTTTTGCATTTCTGGGTAGGGGGCTTGTGGAAGGCGCATGCGCGTCCTACCCGCGCCGCCATTTGCGGCTGCAGCTGTCAATTACTGGGTCCCAGCCGGTGATTACTTGCCGGCACTCGGTGATTGCCAAGCATCTTCGACAGGGAGAACTGTTTGTAAATATAACAGTTCTCCTCCCTGGCAGCTCGTGCACACTGCTTTGGATGGCTCTGCACTGCACAGCCATGCAAAGCAGTGTGCTTACAGTGAAGCACCCAGACACAGCACTATGTAAAACAGCACACAGTTAACCCTTTGATTGCCCCTCTTGTTAACCCCTTCCTCCCAGTGCCTTTTTTTTTTAGCACTGATCACTGTATATGTGTCACTGGAGATGTCAGTGACACCAAGTCAGTTCCCGGCAGTGTCAGAATGCCAGGCGCAGTCCCGCTATAAGTCGCTGATTGCCGCTATTACTAGTAAAAAAAAAAAAAAAAATAAAATAAAAAATCCCAGTATATATACCACTATAACTTTCACATAAACCAATTAATTTACACATATTGGGATTTTTTTTTTAGCAAAGATATGTAGCAGAATACAATTTGTTCTAAATTTATGATGAAATTCGATTTTTTTTTTTGTTTTACTGGACATGATTAATAGAAAAAAGTCAAAAATATTGTTTTTCTCAAAATTGTCACTTTTTTTATAGCGCAAAAAAAAAAAAAAAAACGCACAGGCGATCAAATACCACCGAAAGAAAGCTCAATTTGTGGGGAAAAAAGGACATAAATTTCATTTGGGTGCAGTGTTGCATGACCGCGCAATTGTCAGTTAAAGTAAAGCAGCGCCGTAATGCAAAAATGGCCTGGTCAGGAAGGGGGGTAAATCCTCTGGAGGGCAAGTGGTTAAAGGGGGCCCAGACAGCAATTAAAACTTGCAAGCGTTCCAATCCATCTCCACTCAAAACTAAGGCCTCATGCACACAGGGTGTTTTTACAGCCACTTTTAGGGGCGTCAGGCTTTTTTTTTTTTTTTTTTTTTTTTTACTGCTTCTAAACGGCCCTCCACGTTTTCCTATGTGTCCATGCACACATGGACTATTAGAAGCTTTTAGTAGCAGTAACATTTACCAGCAGGAAAAAAAACCCAGGACCAGTATGTCCAGAAGCAGCAGTGTTTTGGCTAAATGCACCTAAACGCATCTAAACACTAGTCGCGTTTAGCGCTTGAGTGTTAGTTCATTTCAATAGCTAGAATAAATTATCATTATGGCTAATGAAATAAATTAATGCCCAAGCTGTTGACTCTGGTAAACGTGCCTAAATGCTTGTAAAAGTTACTTTTACAAGCGTCGGGCGTTTTTTTTCTGCAAAATCGCTACTGCCAGAAGGACAGCTTCTAGGAGAGTTTTTTTTTATGTGCTGTGTGAATGCGGCCTAAAAAAAAAGTTTTGCCCTTAATTATACTTTAAAATTGAAGTCAATGCTCTGTGCAGGCTGCTCAAGTTCCCCCATGCCAAACTTGCCAGACCTTGTCTTTATTAAGCTGTGCATTTGAACTCAGTAAGGGATGCGCACGTATTTTCGGACATATACTTTAGTTCCAGTAGTGAAACCAGACTTAGTCACCTTCATACATGGTGTAACGGGAGTCACTTTGGGGGGGGGGGGGCCCATGGAAACCTAGCTTACTTTGGAGAGGTGGAGAGACCACTGTCTCCGCTCCCCATATCCCTATTATGTGTAAGTCACCCTGTGCCTGTTAGGGGTACAGGGTGATCTGTCCTAATATTTTTGTAGACATGTCTAGGAGATAGGTGGGGGTGGGGGTTGTGGATTGTTTGGTGTTGTGTGGCTGCATCCCATTTTTCTATTGTTTGTCTTGCTTGGGAGCAAACTATTATGGGATGTATGTGTTTATGTGTATTAGCTTAGTGGGGGAGTGTCTCCAGCAGCCCTCCCTCCTGCTGGGACTGTCTGCTGGTGTGAAGTCTGAATATCTATGTGTCTCTTGTTACTAAATGTAGATTGCCCCACCCTGTGTAATTATGCAGGGAGGAGGGATTGCCCCCTGAGTGTATGTATATCTTGTATCTGTGTTCAAATACAGTAGTCTACCTCTGGCTTACTTCAAATCTGGTGTTGTCTGGATCTTGGGGTAACAATAGCCAGATTCACTGGTCTTGTGTTCCAGAGCCTGAGAAGCAGCTTCGTGATGGAGATACCCAGTTGTGGGTATCTGGGGTCCGTTGCACTTATTTAAAACTATATTTATGGATATGCCCAGTTTTCCATTTTGCAAGAGATTCATGAAAATGGATTTATGCGTTGCACATCTCCACATGAAAAGATTTCATTTAAATATCTAATTTAAATGAAATTTTAGCTCATATTTCATTTAATACCAATATCAAAATGCCTTTGCAATTGTAATTTTTGTAAAAAAAAAAAAGTTTTGAAAAACAGTCTTTTTTTTTTTAGTTTGGTAATAGTTGATGTATTTACACTAATGTTGAGTCTTTTCCCACCACTCCTGGTTTCCTTAATACCATAGTTCTCATTTCCTGAGTTGCCCCGTTCCAGGGCTTGGGGTTAGGCTGCATGAGGCCAGATTCAACAGAAAGCGTCCGTTGCATTCGGGAAATATTGTAGCGTTCATCTCTGCTGCTGTTGCACATACTTTCACTTTGTTTCACCATAGTAGGTACATTGTTAAATTGTGGGGAAATAGGCTGGATTTTCTGCTGTTGCTGCTGAAGAAATTGAGGGTAGGAAAACTCTCTGTGGATCTCAGGGCGCGGGCGAACCGGTGACATATCTTTGTCGTTGTTCAGGTCAGATGATGGAGTGGAGTCGTTAAGGTCTGCCTCTTGTGCGGAGTCATTTTCATAGAGTGTACTGGGGACATGTTCATTATTGTGGCAGGAAGCTTGCGTGGCTTTATTGAACATGTGAGCCACTGTGACTATCATGAAAATAGAGCCCATACAGAGGATGCAGGAGCTGGCTATTCCCGTTTCAATTTCAAACAAGATTAGCATATAAAGTGAGAGAGCTAGAAACAGAAGTTGGGAGAATATGGAAAGAGAAGTTAGTAAAGTATGTAAATGGAACACGATTGCTGAATAAATGTGTTTGAGCTAATTAACTAAATTTAGGTCATAAAAGTGAAAGTCTATGCAATTTAATTTTTGCATATAGCTTGGAAGGGTTAAAACCTCTGTCAATTTTTTATGTTGGCTTTGTCCCTGCTGGAGAGATTGATCCTCTCTATTAAACCTAATGACCATTGTCACCAGGACATAATGTGATGGAAAAAACCCAAACTATATGGTTGTCACCAGACTGGGGCCATTGGGAGTAGAAAAAGGTCCCAAAGTCAGTGGGGAAGAAACATGCTCCATCTTTGATGTCAGTGCAGGGAATAGTGCCCCATTGTTTGTGTCATTGGGAGGAATTGTGCCTCATCATTGTTGTCATTGGGCCCCATTGTTGATGCCACACTGGGAGGAATTGTACCCCATCATTGGGCCCCATTGTTGGTGTCATTGGGAGAAATTGTGCCCCTTCATTGGTGTCAGTGGGGGGAATTTTGCCCCATTGTTGGTATCAGTGGATCAAATAGTGCCCCAGGGGCTGGATAAAAGCAAGCAAAGGGCCGCATCTGGCCCCAGGCCACAGTTTGGAGACCACTGTCTTAATGCATTCCTTGCAATAAGGTAAAAAAAAAATGTTTTCAGTTTTTCTGTCTTCTCCCTTCCCTGTGTAAAGGGGAAGAGAGGGGAGAATAGAGCGAGTGCTGTGCATGGCTGCAACTCTTCTCCCCTCTCTTCCTCTTCACACAGGGACCCGAGCAGCAGCAGGAGCCATTGGCTACTGCTGCTGACAATCAAATACAGTGAAGAGGAAGTTGGGGGGTGGGGATAAGTTCCGCTTTTTCTGTGACTTCATAGACACACAGCTCGGGAGCACCATGTGCCCCATAGCAAATGGCTTACTATGGGGACACACAAATAAGAGGAGGAGCCAAGATCACTGGCGAAGGACCTGAGAAGAGGAGGATTGGGGCTGCTCTGTGCAATACCACTGTACAGAGCAGGTGAGTATAACATGCTTATTTAAAAATTTTTTTAATTTAGACTTTAGTAACCGTTTTGAAAAACTGGTATATCTGACCTGCAGTTAACCTCCATTTGACCTGCTTAAAGCTGCTTTTGTGTTTCCATAGACTTGTTTGAGAAGAGACACAGTGCTAATTGAACAAAAGCCTATCAGTATATCTGTTGGTTTGCCATGAGTTGCTGCAATTTGCACTACCTTACAAACATTTTAGGCACAGTTTCCATGGGTATTTAGCCACGCTGCCACTGACAGCCTCTCGTTGCAATGTGTGTATGAGTTTGGTGGCTGAGGTTATGTGTGTGTCCAGCCACATACATAACAAAAGTCTAACTAAATGGTTAGCACTTCCGCCTGGCAGTACTAGGGTCACTGGTTCACATCCCAACCACGGCACCACCTGCCTGGAGTTTGCCTGTTCTACCTGTGACTGCGTGGGTTTCCTCCGGATACTCCGGTTTCCTCCCACCTCCAAAGACTTGCTGGTAGGTTAATTGGATCCTGTCTAAATTGGCCATAGTATGTGTATGTATGAATGTGAGTTAGGGACCTTGGATTGTACGCTCCTTGAGGGTTAGGGACTGATGTGAATGTACAATATATGTTTGTAATGTGCTGCGTAAATTGCTAGTGCTATAGAAGTACCTGAAATAAATAAATAATAAAATAAGTCAGGTACAGGTAAGAAGACCCTCCAGATAATGAAGTCCTCACATGGCTTAGAGTGGGCAAATTTTCAATCTTGTCAGTAACAGCAACAAGTCTCCACCACTGAAGATTGCCACCATAAGAACTGTATGGCCTTACTGTACTCATATTCAGGGAAATCCAGTACTAGGAAGCAAGCAAAAGAAGGCGGTGCACCAGCCTACTGCAATACCGTAGGACTCTTTAGTAAATAAAATGAATTTCAATGTACTCACAAAGGAAATAATTCCCATCACATCATCAGACGCTTGTCCACCAAAGGGGTGCATGTTATGTATTTCAAGAGCTCTGAGGAAGAAGTCCTCACCCTTGAAACGCGTAAGCTGTGACCCTTTGGTGGACAAGCGTCTGGTGGTGTGATGGGAATTGTTACATCCACTTGACTTTATTTCCTTTGTGAGTACATTGGAATTTTTTTTATTTAATTAAGAGACCTACTATAATGCAATGGGCTGATGCACTTCCTTCTTATGCTTGTTTTCTAGCTGTGTGTGGATAGCTGCAGCTGCCAAACCCGTACATTTCAATGACAGGCTGTCGGTGGCCACAGGCCCACAGCTATCCACACACAGCTGTCAATCCCACCCACAGGAAACAGTAGATTCTTGCTGCTGGAATTTGCAGTGTGGCTAAACACCCATGTGAATGCAGCCTTATACTTGGCTTTATCTCATAGCTTGCAACAAACTTACCCCTAGTTTTGCAAAAAACAACCCATCTCATGCAGGAATTTATTTTCTACATGCCCTGACATTGAGTCTGCTTTGATCTATGCAGATCATTACAGCTCAACTGATGTGGTGTTAAGAAATCCTAAAGAATTTGAAGGAACTTTTTTCCCTACAGGAGCAAGTTGGATCATGCTTTGCTGGGTTTTTTTGCCTTCCTCTGGATCAACTGTGGATATAGGATTATAACTTTTTACTGGTTAAACTGGATGAACTTTTGTCTTTTTTTCAGCCAAACTATGTAACCAGGGGCGGACTGACAACTCATGGGGCCCCTGGGCAATAGGGGATTATGGGGCCCCTGTGTCCTTGCCCAAACTCAAAAAAAACCTATGAAAAAGGTACCAGGGGCATCTCATGGGGCCCCCTACTGACCCCCCCCCTTGGGCAGTGCTCGAGTTTCTAAATGGTCAGTCCGCCCCTGTATGTAACTATGTAAAGGTAATTATTTCAGTAAAACAGGCCTTTTATCTTTAAACTGGCCTTTTTATGACTTGTTCTTCTGCTTTAATATATTTTCAGTGTACATATTATATCATATATACAAGAACATGTTACTAAATGGTTCTAGGAGTAATTAGACAAAAATAAAACATGCAACCCTTTAACTAACAGATGAGAAAAAATAACCATAAACCCTCATGTACACTTGACGGTTTGAGAACGCTGGTAACATTAGCTGTGTAAAGTCACGTTACAAACTTGAGTTTTTCAGCTTTCTTTAGCGTTTTTGCATTAGTGTATTGCTGCGTTTTGCCACGATTAGCGGCGTTTTCCCACGTTTGCGGATTTAAGCATTTTTTTTTATCAAAAAAAAATTGGGCGGGGGGTCAAAAAAAGTCCAAACACGCCAGTTTTACCATGTTTTGCCACGTTTTTCAGTGTTAGAGTGTTGTTACAGCTAACAAACTCCTCTAGAAACCCACTAGTTTTGTTTTTTTTTTTCAGCTAAAAAAACGTCCCTGCAAAAAAAAAAACGTTGATTACAGTTTATGTGTGCATAGACACATAAGATAACATGCTGGGGAGTTTATTGACTGTAGAGAAAAATGTCAAATGCCAAAAACAGCAGCTGTATAAACGACAAGTGTGCATGAGGGCCAAGTGTGAATTTCATAGACCTGGTTGCTTTCTCTATATCTCAACATAAAATCATTTTATTCTAGTTTCTCACCACCTGTATGTATGACGAATATTTACATTCCACATTTCGTTAGTTACCTGTTAAATATAGTGAGATTCCAAGGCAAAAAATGCACAGAGCAGACTGGCGAATACTGCGATTATCCAGCAGGAACCAATCACACCTACACAGACACAAGACAAAATTTTCAGTTGTCAGCCCTGGTTCACACCGGTACAACTTCAGATTTGACATGTGATTTACAATTTGCATCTGAAGTCACATCTAATGTATTTCTAAGGTACTGTCTTAACCAGTGCGATCTGAAGTAGCGTGATTTTAAAAATAGTTCCTGCACTACCTTTTTCCATTTTCATTGCGACTTGCTTTGACTTCTGTTAAATGAAGTTGCAAGCCACAGTGAAATTGGAGGTACAAATTGAACTAATCTGCTGCTTTGAAATTGCACTGCAAGTGAAGTAGTGTGGTTTCAAAGTTGCATTCAGTGTTAACCAGGGCTAAGTCAGATGTTAGATCATCAGAGCTTTCATCAGAGCAAAAAGTGCAAATAATGAAAAATTAAAGTGGAACTTTACCCATAACAACTTGATAAAAAATAATGTTCTTTAGCAAGGAACATACATTCCTCATGAATAATTATGCTACCAAAATTAATGTGTGCTGTAAATTGCCCCCAGTAGTGTCCCTGTTTCTTCTTGCTGGAGGCTGCCATTTTGTTGAAGCCCAGAGCCCCTGAGCAGCAGTAAATCTTTAGACTATCAGCAGATCAGCCTCTACAAATTTGGCACAGTGCCTAAAAATAGAGAGCAACTGAGCATGTGCAGAGCATGGTGAGAGAGTGTATTACTGGATTTTAAACAGTATAGGCACTTATTTTTAATGTTTTACATAGTTATAACCTGCAAAAGGGGCCAGCATGAAGTGATGTAGCAGGACTTAATTTTCTGTCTGAAGTTCCACTTTAAGAGCCACTGTGTTACCAATCCAGTTAAAAAAACAAGTACTTCTGTATATGGGGTAGATGGCTTTAACAGTTGGGATTTAAAATCTGTATGCAACACTTTCAGACTAGAGAAACTCAGCTCAGGGAGCCACTGACATTTTGTTCCCTACTCATCTTTTCTGACTATTTTTCACTAGTTTTGCATTTGGCTAGGGTCAGTGTCACTACTGGTAGCATGAGTCGATACCTGGACTTTACAGAGGTTGCACATGCAGTCCAACTCCTCCAGCATGGCATATCAATACGTGCCATTGCCAGAAAGTTTGCTGTGTCTCCCAGCACAGTCTCAAGAATATCCAGGAGACAGGCAGTTGCTGGAGAGCTGGGGAGCGTAATAGAAGGTCCTTAACCCATCAGCAGGACCGGTATCTGCTACTTTGTGCAAGGAGGAACAGGATGAGCACTGCAGAGCCCTACAAAATGACCTCCAGCAGGCCACTGGTGTGAATGTCTCTTACCAAACAAATCAGAAACAGACTCCATGAGTCTTCTAGTGGGTCCTGTGCTCACTGCCCAGCACCACAGAGCTTGATTGGCATTTGCCATTGAACACCAGAATTGGCAGGTCTGCCTCTGGCACCCTGTGCTTTTCACAGATGAGAGCAGGTTCACCCTGAGCACATGTGACAGACGTGAAAGGGTCTGGAGAAGCTGTGAAGATTGTTATGCTGCCTGTAACATCGTTCAGCATGACCCTTTTGGTGATGGGTCAGTGATGGTCTGGGGAGGCATATCCATGGAGGGACGCACAGACCTCTACAGGCTAGACAATGGCACCCTGACTGCCATTAGGTATCAGGATGAAATCCTTGGACCCATTGTCAGACCCTACGCTAGTGCAGTGGGTCCTGGGTTCCTCCTGGTGCATGACAATGCCCGGCCTTATGTGGCAAGAGTATGCAAGCAAATCCTGGAGGATGAAGGAATTAATACTATTGATTGACCCCCACGCACTCCTGACCTAAATCCAATAGAACACCTCTGGGATATCATGTTTTGGTCTATCCAACGCCACCAGGTTGCACCTCAGACTGTCCAGGAGCTCAGTGACGTCCTGGTGCAGATCTGGGAGGAAATATCCCAGGACACCATCCGTCGTCTCATTAGGAGCATGCTCCAACATTGTCAGGCATGCATACAAGCACGTGGGGGCCATGCAAACTACTGAGTACCATTTTGAGTTGCTGCAATGAAATTTCAGCAAAATGGACTAACCTACTGCATCATTTTTTCACTTTGTTTTTTGGGGTGTCTTTGAATTCAGTCCTCTGTAGGTTGATGATTTTCATTTCTAGCAAATGATGGGCCATCCTTACATTCCTAACACATTACCCAGCCCATATCAGTATAGATATCCAGCAAGATATTTTTCCCAATTGAGACCTGATGTGTTTTCAAAGTGTTCCTTTAATTTTTTTGAGCAGTGTATTTGTGAATATATAAAACAGAGACCCATAACATTAAAATGGCATGGACTGATTCAGAAAAACACTGCAAAGAGCAAAACACTATCTGCAAGTGCTGCAACCCAAAGCAACTAGTCTGCATCCACCTTGTACTGATTCAAATTGTTATTGCTTGCTATGGGTCACCTAATATTTAACACAGTAGGATTGATTTACTAAAACTGGAGAGTGCAAAATCTGGTGCAGCTGTGCAAAAAAAGCTGAAGTTAGAAGCTGATTGGCTACCATGCACAGCCATACTAGATTCTGAGTGATCCAATTTTAGTAAATCTCCCCTCTTGCATCTTGTACTGCTTGTTCTTTGAAGCTTTACAAGGTTTTCCTTAGGTCCCCTTTACTGATTACAGGACTTTTGTTTGTTACATGCAGTTGTCGCACATTACCTCTTCCAATTTCAACTCATGTATGTTATCAATTGATGAGCTGCCTGTAAGTTAATTGTCTTATCAATTATATGCAGGGGCGGACTGACCATTTGGAAACTCGGGCACTGCCCAAGGGCCTGGGGTCAGTAGGGGGCCCCATGAGATGCCCCTGGTACCTTTTTCATAGGCTTTTTTGAGTTTGGGCAAGGACACAGGGGCCCCATGATCCCCTATTGCCCAGGGGCCCCATGAGTTGTCAGTCCGCCCCTGATTATATGTACTTATTTTATTGATATGCATTTTAAAATAATGCATGTACTAAAATATATATGACACCACTGTTACATATCTTTTCACTTTCACCTGATATTTACTGAAAATTTCTAATGCATGTAATAATGTTATCTCCAAAAATATTTCATTTTAATTTCATGTCTGGTATAAGTGGGTATAGAAACACCACAATTGCTTTGTAAACTTGACACATTTTGTAGGCATGGCACAACAGTTTCCTACTGTTTATGCATACTGTTAAAATGCAAAAGTTGGCCAAAATAATCTACTTTGAACAGTTCACCTGACCCATCTATGTTACATTTTTGTAAAATATATTAATACTTTAATCCTATTTTTACATTAAGTATGCAATTAAGAAGCTGTATACAAGTATACCATTGAAAAATGTATTTATAAATTTGCTGACTTTTTATTGTTACAGTAGTTGTCTGCTTGTAATCGTTTGTAGCATTTTGTAAGCTAGGACACTTTTACGGATTGCATCTCCCTTCTCTCTCTAGCACTTGCTACTCAGATTGGGACAATACCCTGTTATTGACCGTTAGGAGTTAATAGTCACATGGTCTTCAGCAAGCTGGATGAAGTTCCATGCTGGGTCATTGTTTTCTATAGCTGGTTAGAACAAAGGGTGAGCATCTGAAATCTGGGGCAGAGACTGAGGGAGGCAAAGATCAGGCTCTTTAAATGTAAGGTTGGAACGTGAGCTCCATGTAATGAAAGGGTTGGTTGAGATTACTGTGCACTGCGCTGAGAAATTATGTTTCTGAACACGCTGATTTTAATGACTAATTAAAATGGAACTGAACCCTTGTAACAGCAAAAATCAGCAGTGCTTGGCAATATTAAATAATTTTAATATAAAGGATTAGTTAGTCTCTTAGATTGTAAGCTCCAAGGAGCAGGGCCCTCCTAACCCTCTTGTATTGAACTGTATTGTTGCTGTATTGTCTCCCGTTATATTGTAAAGCGCTGAGCAAACTGTTGGCACTATATAAATCCTGTATAATAATAATCTGAGATTGTAAGCTCCAAGGATCAGGCCCTCCTAACCCTCTTGTATTGAACTGTATTGTTGCTGTATTGTCTCCCGTTATATTGTAAAGGGCTGAGCAAACTGTTGGTGCTATATAAATCCTGTATAATAATAATAATTACTTATTATTTAGCCAATTAAACATTTTCTGGATTTTTTTGCTCTATTTCTAGCATTTGTCTGTAGAAAGCTACATTGCATTGCTTGCAGTTTTAGGCCAATGTATTTACAATACAAGGTAAAAGTTATTTTTTATAAGCCATTTGTATTACCCATAGTTAGGAGTGTGGCTGAAAAAAGTACATGCAAACCATGTCTATCATACATTTTCCAGTGCTTTCTTATGCCTGGGGAGCCATGTATCCAAACTATGCGGAAAACACAGGGGACTCACAAGCGCGGGCAAATGTCCATGCAAGAAACCATTGGTGTTTACAAGAGTACTGTTACTTCCAGCCATTCGTTTGCATGGCAGGCTGTAAATGGCACCTGCAGCTCCCCGCGCCAAGAAATTACACAAACATGGACTGTTCACAGCAATGTCTCTGTAGCTCAGTCAGATTAACATGTGGTTGCATAGTCTAGCAACAACAAACAGTCTATCTGATAATCATTTCTTCAGTAAAATAGTACAGAACACAGCTACTTGCATTCATCCTCATAAACAGCATCCTTCTCAGTAAAGTCCAGGGTATCTCTAGTAACAGGTGATCAGTTGGAGGGATCAGAGGCCCAAGAACAAAGGGCCATCCCTCTAAAACTGAAGTACTCTGGTAGGAAACTGGGAGGGGGGCTCCACAGTAGCTGAGTCTTCTGGAGAAGCTGTGTGCTATTAGGCTCCTTCTGGGCTGCTTGTACACGGGTTATGATAGTGGAGGTGCTCTCACCTGGCTACAGATCCCTTGCCCAGCTACCTCTGTATCACCAGGTGTGGCCTCCCTGAGCTGCTGAGAGTGGCGAGCTAGGAAACTTATCTATCCTGGGAATGTCCAGGAACACATGTGGAATTAGGCTGCATTCACACTCAAGCATTTTGTAGCTTGAAGCTCAAAGCTCCAAAAACGCTCAAACTTAAAAAATCAATTGTTCTCTATGGTGCCTGTTCACGTGATCAGGTGTGAACAGGCACCATAGAGAACAACTGATTTTTTTTTAAGTTTGAGCTTTTTTGGAGCTTCAAGCTACAAAACGCTCAAGTGTAAATGCAGCCTTATGGAGGCCTGCTCCTGTATTTCAGCATAGTAAATGGCACTCTGGTTACAAAGCCATCTGCCATGAATGTATGGAAGTGACAAGCCATACGTCTACACCAAAGCATGATACAGCATAAACAAGTGACTGCTTTTCAAGTGCTAAAATGAATATGCCAATAAAAGATATCCATGTCAACCAGATGGCAAATACCTGTGCTGCTTCCTAATGTTACTGTAATTACATGAAATTGCCAACTGAAACCTTTTAAGAAAGCAACACTCCCGGGAATGTCATTCTACTGTGTCCTTCACTGTGCTCAGTGGTTCTTCCCGATGTTACTACAGAATACAGTAGTGACATAAGGGTTAGCAGGAGGAACTACTGATTATAGAGAAAGACCAGGCATCCAACATTTCCATGAGTGATGGATTCTGAAGAGACTTTGGGGAAACTTTGCTCTTAGCCCCAAAAGGAAGGACCTGCCCCACCCCCTTTATGGCCCAAATAGGCAGGTCTGTTTCCTCCCTTAAGAGTACATTCTCCTTGTATTCATGTGGGCATGTGACGTTATTACTGTTCCCTATTTAGAGTATCACCGTTCCCTAAGTAGATCTTCATAGAACAATATGGAAAACACACTTCAGAGAGGGACCCGATAGTTCACCTCCCAATACAGCCTTGGATTCCATTACCATATTGGAGATAAAACTCTATTATAGGGCCACTGAAGGTGGAAATCACAAAAAAAAAAAAAAAAACCGAGGTATAGTCTGCTATTAATTGTATTATTAATTTTATTATTTTGACTTGATTATGTTGCTTTCAAATATTTATATGAAGTTTCTATGTTTTTAAGTGAAGATAAAACTGATTAAGATCATTATTAAACACAGATGTTTACTCTGATTGTGCTTTGAGAAAAATAGAGGTAAAATACACTTCCATGAAAAGCAGGATCCTTAAATTGTATAGAAATGTTAGTCTATTTTTAGTCTCTAATAAAAGATATTCAGGGCTGGTTCAGCCTGAATTGCTGGAGACCATGTTCCTGTCCAATTCTTATGCTACTCAATGCAATGCAGTTTCGCCCCATTCATTTGAATGGGCTGAAATCTCACTGGTCGCACCAAAAGTAGTGCAAGCACTACTTTTCAAAAACGCACTACACTGGATCGCATGGTACTGTGGTACCATGCAATCTGGTGCAGGCAAATGCACTGCATTTATGATGTTGTTAGGATTATATTGACACCTACAGCAATACGCACACTCAGTTTGTTTTGAACGCAGTTCAGAAAACATGCACAGAATGCAGGTTTTATGCACTGCTTTCGGGCATGAACGATGATAATAAAATGTTATTTTGCTTATCTTGTTTAAAATTAACCTGTGCTGAGACTATAGGCGTTCAAGTATCTACATATTCTTAAAAAACAGTAAATGAGTATAAAAACAAGCTCTCACTGGCCTCTGTAGCTTCAGACATTGTGCAGCAATTCATCCTTAAAATTATGTTTTATTGCTGTTCCTGCACTGCTTAGGAGGATTCTGCCTTTCTATTTGTCATGTTTACAGTAATAGAGGGGAAATCTTCCAATGGTGACACTATTTCTGGTGAAAACCAGCTCTTCCCCTCACTTTGGAAGAATTTCCTCTCACTTCCTGTTTTGGGCATGGGACAAGAAAGGGAAAATCTCTCCAATGAGACACAACTGGCGAAGAAAAAATGAAAGGGGTTATAACTCCCCCTTCCTCTATACAAAATTATGATTAAAAAAAGTCTTTATTTCTACTTTAACAGCAGAGGCCCTAATGTAATTTAAGTCATTGTTTCCATAGCTTAGCTCATCTTGCTCTGTGTTTGCAGCACATATTAGATGGCTGGAAGGCTGCCAAGTCACTACTGGGAGGGAAGCAGAGTAAGCTGGGCTGGCATAGACAACAATTTCTGCTCTTTTGAGGATGAATTGTTTCACAGTATCTGCAGCTCCAGAGATCAGTGAGGGTTTGTCTTAAAGCTACTACTGGCTTCTATTTTATAAGAATATAATAATATTTTGAATATCCATATTCTGAGTTATTCCGTTACTGTATGCTGTACACTTTTACTGTAACAGAATTTTACATGTACTTGACATATGAGAATATTAGAAGATTAGCAGTAGACACTTACCTCCTGGAATCTGGATCCTCACGGCAGACCTCAGCGGTGAAGTAGGAGTGAAGAAGGCACAGTAGGAGACAGCTGGCATTTAGGGCAAGACACAAAGCAGCCAGTACTGCAGAAGCTGGTAGTAGGATCCTAGCAGCCACTGGGCCTAGCCCAGCACTCAGATCTCCCTGCTTTGATGCAGACTGCACCTGGAATATTAATATGACTGACAACGAAGCCATGATGGCAGCCAAAATGCCAAAGAGAGCTAGGGCCACTATAGAATGGTGACTGTAATGAGAAGGCATTTTTGGTTTTTGCGTATATAGGTACTCTCTCTTACTTTAAACTACTCAGTAAAGGGTGAAATGCCACTATTTATTGAAATCACTGATTCTGCAAAAATCTATAACCTATTTGCTAATTCCCTCCAATATTTGCACTCCCATGGCATTAGAGTACTTTGCTTTACCAGTGATATCTGTCTTGTTTTAGTCGCCAGTGCCACAACTGATATTATAATATCTATGCTACACTAAATCAACCTAAACGTCTAACTCAAACAAATTATTAAAAAATATGCTACATCTTTTCATTTTGCAGCAACATAGCTATGAACGATCGATCAGTGACAAATTCATTAATAAAACTATCTGGACAATAAGGCAAATACTACACACAAGCAACTACTAATGAAAAACTGCAAAATATAAGCATTTCATCTCAACTGAAAACTATATTTACATGCAAAACACCCACAATACTTAAAATATATCAAAAATAATTTGAGACTCACCAACACGCCTAAGAAGAATCTATAAACTGTCCAGAATACAGAAGACTCATCCACTCTACCGGCTCCTTTAACATCAATATCACAGACCACCTAAAATCCTCCTAATCTAGTTTTTTTTGTCTTACCCTTTAAATAAACTGCCCCTTTAACTTCTTCGTGGTCCCCAAAAATGTTGTGATTATTGGCTGAGCTATGGGAAAAGATGTATATAAAAAAATTGGTAGAATAAGAGAGAGACTTGTGAAAAGATTGCCTCGTTCCTCTGACTCTTAGAAACTCTGGGGTTTCCAAGAGGATAAAAGAAGGAATCTTTGAACTGTTTGGTACAGGACAAGGGAGGAGGGGTATGGGCGGGAATTTCAACCGTCTTTTTAACCTCTCTCCCTGGCAGCAGTCAATATGGCCAGTTTGGGGTTAAAGGCAATTTTGATTTGAACGTGAAGGATTCAAAGTCTTTTTTGGGTATATTGTGAACATGAGCAAAAGTGCACTAAATACTTGGCAATACTTAGTTTTACGCTGTTCTTGAATTTTCTGTTTGTTAAAATAAAAACTATGTTTTAATTGTATGCGTCACATTTATTACAGTAATTGAATATTTCATGAAGTTTTTGCTCATCTGGAAACTTGGCTGACTCATCCCTGCGAGTCCTCTTTCTACACACTGGCCCCTTACACTTGTCACACTCTGTTATGAGCAGATGTTCATCCGAACAAAGGGAGCTTAATTACAAAACAAAAAGTGTGAGCCATTATTGTGAAGAATGTGCAAGCTGACTGGGAGCAACATCTCAGTTCAGCCATATGTGATGCCTGCGCTCCTTTTGTAATTTGAATCTTTCTTCACATAAAAACCATGGGGACACATTAGAAATACAGAAATTGGCCAATGGAATTGCACTGGTAAATGAGGAAAGGAGGAAAAGAAATGCTGGCTCTGGACATAGACAAGAGGGGGCGCTACATCTTACATGTCATACTATGACTTGCCTAGTTACTGCACATAGTGTGATTCCTGCCATCATATAGATGGTTTCTTTACTGTGTAAATATGTTGTGCACATGAGCTTAAAGCCGAGTTCCACCCATTTTTCATACTTCACCTAATAATGTTGTCCCTGTGAAATAACGAACAAGTTGGATATTTTTTTTTTTCGTAATATACATACCTTTAGATCCACTGCAAGCCTGTAGTTCCGGTCCTGGCCGCCTAGGCGATGACTTCGTAAGGCAATTTGCAAGGTCTCCTGGGATGTCGTTTTCTGTATCCCAGGAGTCCTTTGGTTTCCTGTAATCGTGGGACTTGGAAACCGGAAATGACGCGAATGAGAGGCGTTTCGCACCATTTTACCGGAGTCCAGATTACAGGAAGATGTGGATGCTGTATCCTGCTGTGTCCTACGCTGTGATCTATTCTGGAATTGCAGATGTGTACATCGCGCTGAGCAGTGTCTGTACTGCGCTGGCGCGAGAACGAGTGGTGCATGCTGGGATAGCCAGCAGCGCCGATTCCCAGAAATAAGTGCCTGCGGGCTTCAGATGCCCACAGCCATTATGGCGCCTGCCTGCGTCCGAGATCATCGTAAATTTTTAATAATTACTAAGTAATTACAATGCTTTTACTTTTGAATTATTCCAATTGTTAATGCTATTTGAAAGGTCATCATGGATCTGCTTTTATCAACAATTTATTAGGGGGACTGGGGCTCCGCTTTAAGACCACTTAAAGTGTAATTAAAAGCAAATTTTTTTTTTTTTTTTTAGTTTTTTTTAGTGTGGAGAGGAATTAGAGCTCTTTTCAGGTTTTTATTGCCGTCTGTATCTCTTCAGTTTGTACAAAAAAAAAAAAAAAAAAAAAAAGATCCTATTCCCCCATCCACATATTCAATCCTTCACACTGTGGTATTGTATTCTGACATCAGGGAGCCTTCCCTGCCGGCAGAACATAATAATTAGTGTTGCCAGCTACAACCATTCTCTGCATTAAGGTAAAAAAAATCTTGTGTGCGGCCCCCTCTTTTCAGCCTCCTCTTATACTTAACTGAGCCTAATCTCAATCCAGATATGTGCCCTTTCGACTCTCTCCCTCCTTATTGGCTCAGAGACAGCAGGGGAGCCATCCAGCTACTGTCAATTACAGCCAGTGAGGAAGGAGCAGGGGCCGAGCTGTGCTATGTGTGTCTATGGACACCAGCTCAGGATGGAGCACACACAAGTGTCCCATTGCTATGGGACATATGGCAGGGGAGAGGAGCCAGCAGCACTGACGGGGAACCCCAGAAGAATCAGGGCAATCTGTGCAAACCATTGCACAGAATGGGTAAGTATACCATGTTTGTTATTAAAAAATAAATAAATAAATTAGGTTTACAACCGCTTTAATGGCTTTCTATCAGAGGGCTTAAAGCTCAACAATGTGCACCAAGATTTTTATATTTTTAGAGGTTGAAGTATTTCTTTTTTAGCTCTGTGGATTTGTATTTGATTTTAGTCCATTCACACACTAGAACTCAGTGTGGGAAAGATGTGTTTCCATGCTGTTAAACATATGTGGGTGCCAATAATTGTTAATGGCACCCCACATGCATTTAACAAACGCAGTGCATTTGTGGCCACCAAACCACATGATACCAAAGTACTATGCAGTTTGGTGCATTGAAATTTTTTTTTGCAGCACCATTTTTAAAAGTAACGCCTGCCGCATTTTTAGCATGTTCGTGTGCGTTTGGCAGCCTATTGAAATTAATGGAGTGTCAAAAACACAAAAACTGATGTGAACTGGCTCTTAAAGTTCTTTATGCATCCAGCAGAGTCACAATAGCATTGATAAAAAGACATGCAAGAGAGTTTGTGGGGACTGTTCTAGCCCTTTCCAAACATGAGCACTGCAGGTTTTATAGATGCATACAGTAAAAGAAGTCAAACAGTAAGCTGCTTTAGCAGCTTTAACTTCAGCTGGTGGATATGGTGACAGGAGCTCTCCGTTGTGCTGAGATTGTGGTTTCACAGCTCATCGAAAAAAAAGGAAACAATATTTCAAGTATTCTGTTTTAATTATTGCTTTTTAACAGGCTCTAAAAAATTTTTTTTAATTTTGGATAGTGTGGGAGGGTTAAAATCTCTGTTAGGCTTTTAGTGCTGTGTCCCTGCTGCTATCATTCTCTCTTTTCTATTCTGAACATTGATACTGGGTCAGACAGTAATGGGAATTTATCATCTTACAGTTGTACTGTAAGTCAGGAAATGAGATAAAATCTTCCCAGTGGAATACAGACAAAAAAAATTCAACAGAAAAAAAATAGACTGTAGATACACTATAACCTCAAACCTAGTTTTAAAGTCCTCACAAGCTAACTTGCATGTCTTTTTTTCAATGCTACTGGGGCTCTGCAAGAGTCATACCCAAACTATGGATTGTTTTTTTCCACATGAAACTTCCAGGAAATTGTGCTAGCCCAAGAAAGATATGTTTGTACTCATCAGGAATATCAAATCTATTGATATCAGATGAGTGTACGAGTTGAAAGTCAATACAGGCTAGGTGCACACTAGCCCATGCTTTGAAAAGCGATTCATGGTAGATCACTTTTCAAAGAGCGATTAAGCAGCCTCTGCCATGCATTAAGGTGGAGATCCTGCCACCTTCTTAACACAGCAATTTACAATGGGGCTAATGTGCCGTGAATACGAGGCAGGCATTTGGTTTCGCGATAATGGCACAACCCCATTGATTTGAATGGCCAAGTTTGACAAGCACTGCTGCCTGTCAACTCAACATGACACATCCAATTTACCATGGCCTCCTCCTGCTGTGTTTTAGACTTTAGGTGGGTGGCCAGAGATCTGGTAAAAAAAAAAGGCGACTGAGCTGCCTGTGTGAAAGTGTAAGCCCTAGCACTTGGATAGTCAGGGTGTTTACAATAAAAAACCTTTTTTATTTGTTGTCTTTGTATGTAAAGGTAACATGCACATGATGCTTACATCCAATTGCTCTATACTGTATCCAAAAAACACATTTTTCCATAGAAATTAGGAGCTCTGACAGTGTTTTTGGCAGAAATACAACCTTTTAATAATGAACAATATTTGTAGGATTGAAAGACAATGTTCTCTACCCTTGTATTGATTGCCATGGACTAAATGCCATCACTGTTTAGAACCACTACCCTTTGTCCCCATATTAACCGATTCGCGTCCCCCCTGTAGCAGATATACTGCTACAGGGCGGCACAGCCCACATGGAAGAAAAATATATTTGAAATATATTTTAAAAATACTGTTCCCAAATATATTGACATATATTTGAAATACTACAAGTTTGGCCATATTCAATAAATTTCAAAAAAAAAAAAATATATATATATATATATATATATATACACACATATACACATACATATTCACACTGTATGTTGAAATGCTTTTTATTACAAAATATGAAAAAATGTGTAAAAATACATTTTC